CATCAGTTTTTAAATAAAGATCGCTATATTCACCTAAAGTCTTTATGTTAAACACTTTCCATACATTTTTCGCATGTATATAATCATCATCAGTAATATTTTCATCGGATAAAGAGCTATAAAACTCAAGTTTTGAAGGTAAAAAAGTATCATCTAGTTTACACCAACTATCAACATATTCATACGGGAAGACTCCTTTTCGAGTAACTAGATCTAATACTTTAGTAGAAAATACTTTAATAGTTTCTCTAAACCTCAACTTATCTTCGGATAAATTGTTTGCTAGTTTACTTAATTTTTCAGCCATAAAACGGTATGTGTCCACAAACTTTATATTAAATTTTGGTGCGATTTCTTTACTAAATGATATATATTTTTCAGATGAATTGGGTATAACATGAATATCTTTATCGTTACACCCAAGTTCTCGAATTATGAAGTGACTGTCATATGTCAGATTATGAAAGAAGATTGGTACAAATGACGGACTTGTTAGCTGAAAATTACATTTAACACAAATACATCGTCTGTAATTTCCCGTTATATGACAGTGATCTCGAACTTTTAACAAATTATTATCTTTAAAAGATAATAAACATTTTTCACAAACCTTAGCTTTCTGAAAATGTTTTTCTTCTTTTAAAGTTAATTTGTTAATTGGTAAATTAGTTTTATAAATATCATGTATTTTATTTCCTATACTAATCATACTATTCATAAATTTTTTGCTGCATTTTTACCTCTATATATTACTACTGTTCTAGGAATTTCAAACTTTTTTATTAATTTTTTCGGTATAATATTATAGTCAACTTTTACATAAAACCCGTAACTCATAAGTTTATGTAAATTTGTAATATGAGTTTTTGGTTTTTTACAACTTTGAATGAATTTATCAGGTTGTTTATGGTTTAAAATACATTCGAAGTCGGCGTATATAACAATTGGGATTCGTTGAGTATTTTTATAGTTTTTGAAACGTATAAAATCGTCATCTCCTTCTTCAAACATTATAGGTCTTCCTAATTTATTTTTTATACACATTTCTTTATGTCTAATTAATCCTGTTTCACCCCAAAGTTTGCTTTTACACGGTTTATTTCCAAAACTTGTAAAACATCTCTTACATATAATCAACTTTGAACGATGTTTAGTTCTTTGACTTCTAACAAACCTTGAGAAGTTGTTAATATAACAATAATGAGATGTATTATTATTATCAAATAGAAATAGGTCAAAATGATTTTTTTTTTCAATATTGGTTATATGTAATGGGTAAATTAAATTTTTATCATTTAAGCTGTAAATATTAATTGATAAATTGTTTATTTTTTCAAATTTTTTTATCTGAGTTGGTGTTGGAAAATCAATACATTTAAAATTAAACCCACTTTTTTTTTTCTAACATATCAAAATATTTTTTGTTAAACCGAGATTTATTCAATCGATTATCGTACTTAGATAGTATTGAATATTTGAAACATTCATTATCATTATTTTTTATATTTATAACTGCTTTTTTTTTTTTTTTATATTACTAGGTAAATCTAAATATGTGCTTCCTCCTTTAAGAGGATTAACTTTATTAACTCGTAATTGTAAACAATCTATAGATTTAAGGGACCAGCCTGATTTTTTTGATATAAATTGTGCTTCCTCAGATAATAGTTTGTTAAACATTTTGTTTAATAAACTATTAAAATTGGATGATTTAGATGCTAATACGTTTGAAGTTTTAAACGACATATCTTGTACTTCATCCGTTAATAGTTGTTCATACGTGCTATCAACATATAAATTTAATTTAATTGTCGCCTGCTGACTTGATTGTGTTAACCTAGAAATTAACATTTCAGAAACATAACTAAAAAATACATTGTAGTCTATTATTTCTTCCTTGTTCTTAACAATATACGTTCTCGAACAGCTTTTAAATCGTTCAATTTCAACAAGTCCGCCCTCAGCTGATTCCATCCGTCTACGTTTAGTGATTGTATTTCTTTTCATTATGTAACTGTAAATAAATTTAAATAAAATAATAATAATAATAATAATAATAATAATAATATTATTTATTAATACATTTTAGTTTTAGTCTATATTCAAAGATTATAATTCTCTGTACAGTGAATTTAAAGAATTGTCTTATAATATATTTAATAATTATTCATAAAAAATTTAAAAAAAAAAAATTTAACCTGATCTAAACCTTTCACGTTTGGATTCTGCTATCGTAATAAAATCTAACCTATTACCGAAACATTGTTCTCGATTGCGAAAATTTGTAACATATAAATCACTATATTTTCGACATATATCCATTTTTTTTTCTCTTAATAAAACTAATTTTATATTTAATTCTTTTATATAAGACAAATTTGGTTTAGAATTTGTTCTACTTAAATAAATAGTGAATTTGAGGTTTCTAATTTGTTTTTTAAGATCTTTATATTCGTATCTCTCTTTAATTTTATTTTCATCAATAATCTTCGTTAATGCTGCAATCTGCTCTTCATAATATTGAATTTGTTCACAACAATAATCATATGAATGCGAAAAATTCATTATCTGTAATTTTAGCTAACGACATTAGTATAAAATGTATAATTTATAAATCTAATAATTAAAACGATTATTTATTAAACAACATTGAATATACGTATATATATATATATATATATATATTTATTTACAATGATATAATAATTACTAATTATATTATTACATATTAGTTTTGAATATAGTTTTACAGAAAACAAGAATTTTACAAGAAAAAAAAACATAAAAATAAAATTAAAGAAATAAACAAAAAAATTAAAAAATTAAAAATTAAAAAAAACAACTTAGATTAGAATTCGAACAATCGCAATATACATTTTATAAATGTAAATTATGTATAAGAAATTCTGTGCATTTACTGCACAGAGAATTAGACTCTTTGAATATAGTTTTAGAATATTCAAAGAGTCTAGTTCTCTGTGCAGTAAATGCACAGAATTTCTTATACATAATTTACATTTATAAAATGTATATTGCGATTGTTCGAATTCTAATCTAAGTTGTTTTTTTTAATTTTTTAATTTTTTAATTTTTTTGTTTATTTCTTTAATTTTATTTTTATGTTTTTTTTCTTCTTCGTCTTCTTCATCCAATGTTTTTTCTAATAATTCGTAATTTTCATCAATTTTTCTTTGGATGTAAGTTTCATCTGAACGGGAAGCCATTTTATTTTGAAACTGTAAATATTAATATTTATCTATCAATCAATATATTGAATAAAATAAAAAAAGTCGAGTCATAAAAATTATAAGCGATACAATATTATTTTTCCTTTATATTATATTATATTATATTTAACTCATATTATTTGACAAGTTTTCACAACACAGTTAAAATATTAATAAAAAATATTGAAGATATAGATATGTACAAGCATATACGTTTGAAAAAAAAAATAAAAAAAATACTATATGCTTGTATTATCTATAAGTTCAACATTATTTACATCTTTTACATCATAGAATTCAATGTTTATAATATAATCTCATGGTTTACATAAACATAATAAGTTTTAATAGTTCTCAATACATTTTCTTTTTACAAAATATAATACATTCTTAGTTATTTATACAACATATTTGTAATAATTAAAATATAATATCTAATAAGAATTATATTAACAATTTTCTTGCATGTATAAAGCGATAATAATTATAATAATAATAATAACCAATTATAATGATAGTTGTATATAATAACATTAAAAGCCTTTACATATAATAGGGATACATGAACATGGTTTTGATTAAGAAAAAAATAAAAATAAAATTTATTAATTTTATTATTTTTTTCTTAATCAAAATAATCGTTACGATTTTAATATTTACTTTTATCTTTCAACATCATTTTTAAAATATATATTAAATAACAATATAATTAATGTTTTACAGTGTATACATTTAAAATAATTTTAATAGTTATACATTTATAGTATATAAATATAAAATGAGAAATTATCTATCGAACATCTTAGACAATTGTTTTATTGTTAGTTTTTTATTTATGAGATATATTTCTCATTCTATCTAAAACAAAAAATTCTGAATATGTTACGGGTACAGTTACGGAGTCAATACTAGTAGGGAACGGATTACTTTGTAAATCAACACCTTTAGTTAAGAACCGTCCACATAATATACATCGTGTATAATAACAATAATCTTTAAACGCTTGTATATCTTTAAATCGAACAAACTGGTATAAAGGATTGTAAGTTCGAAACGTATTACCACTAGATTTTTCATGATGATAACATGCACTGCTACAATACTTTTGGTCCCCAACATTTTGTATACACAGTTCAACTAATGTATAATTTCCAAGTGGATCGGATAAAATATTTAATACATGGTCCTTTACCATAAATGGATAATAATCTCCTACTAACATAAAGGTGATTTCAGGGTTAAAACGATAATATTCTAAAGATTCTAGAACACTGTTGATTGTTCTATTTCGTATATTGTTTGAATCGATTGAAAACATATTGTAATTTATAAAAAAATTCAACCCGTAAAAAAATAAAACAACATTAAATTAGATTTATAAATATTTTATGATAGCATAACTAATGTTCAACAATAAAATTTCTATTTTAATTGAATATTGTACACGTATTCGTTTGATTCGTTCCATATGTAACGTACGCATACCTACCTATAATAATTTTTTTATAAAAATAATAGCTATACTAATGATATTATATACTTACATCATGGGCGCCGTGAGGGGGGTGCAAGGGGGTGCATTTGCACCCCCTTGGCTTGACAAAAAAAAAAAAAAAAAAAATTAAAAAATTAAATTAAAAAAATTGAATGGTATTAAAACTATTTTATTTTGCATAATTATCTACATTATTTCTATTATTTATTATTATACATTTATACTTATTTTACAATATTGTCTATATAATATATTATTTATATTATGTAATATAATAATTATTTTTTAAATAATAATTGCAAACGCCTAGGTTTTTTTCCAAATTCTTCAATTGAATTTTCAATGAATTTGGTATCCTCTCCTAGTCTTTTTCTATGTACACTCATCATACACAATCCGGACAATCGGTTATCACCCATAGTGGCTCTGTTCCATGTCTTGACTCGTCTTAAAGTACTGAATGAACGTTCAATGCTGCAAGTTGTTGTTGGAAGAGTTGCTCCGATCTTGATTGCGTCGGCTACAGCTGGATAAAAATCTTTTGACATTTCGATCAAATCTAAGTATTCAATAGAATCTAATGGTTTTTCACCATTATTCCACATTTCATACCATGTTGTGGCTTCAGTTACAAAATTTGATGACAAAATATTTCCATAGAGTTTTACAATATCATTTGATGTGCAAATAAACTGTTCTTTACTCAGGTTTTTCATAAGGATGAAGATCCATTAGAGAAACAGATGAAAGTTTCACTTCTTCAATAATGTTTTGTCGAAGTACATTAGCACAAGTTTTAATTAGTTCATTTTGAACTTCATGTGAGATATATAACGCATTTTTAGCTCCAGACTTTAAATGCTTATTCAAAACTTCATCCCCCGATTCGACACGGAATTGTAATAAATCTGTAAAAACTGAACCTTCGTCATTTTTACCTCTTAGTGGAAGATCGTGCTTTGCACAAAATAAGATTGACGATATGATAGAACGAAGTTTCACCCTGTTTTCTTCTATTTCTCTATTAAATGCCGAATCTATTTGCTCATGAACACTCAATTGTTTTCTCTCTTTTGAGTTTAAAAAATGTTGTGACGCATTAATTGCGTCTTTATGCCAAATACTAATTTCATGAGCCTTTGAAACCTCGTTAAATTTTTGATATTTTATGCATGGTGAAACAATGAATGCTCCTTGAACACCTCTATGTACTCGAGGTCGAAATAATACACAAACGCGACATAGTGGGCCTTTAGAAACAGCTGAGTAACTTAGCCATGGATAAAGTGCAAACCATTCTATACGAAATACTCTCGTAGAGCCGTTGGTCAAATCTTTTTTGAAGTCATATGTTTTTGATGGAACCCAGGGGTCCTTCAATAACTTTAAACGTAATTCGTCATCAACGTAGGAATTCAAATACAGTCCAATATCTAATTTATTAGCACCAACAGTCAACTGATGAAGGAGTTGTGGCACTTCTTTTTGTTGGCTACTATTAGAACTATTAGTACTTAAATTACTTAAATTACCTATGTCATGATTGCCTTCATTTATACTTGATTGGAGTTGTGGCACTTCTTTTTGTTGGCTACTATTAGAACTATTAGTACTTAAATTACTTAAATTACCTATGTCATGATTGCCTTCATTTATACTTGATGGACTTAATTCTATCTTGCGTTTCTTTTGCAAAAAATTTCGTATGTCACTCATTTTTATATATTAATAATTTTACGTAAGAACTAAAATAATAAGCACGTTGAGATATACACACACGGACACACGACTGTCGACTAATAATGATTCCGATTTTATCGTATAGTGTCGATGGATGTATAGGACATATCAGTTGTCACGTGTATAATATACACTGTATGTCTGTATATTCAATATATAAATCGGTCATTTTTATCGCATGCGATAAGCTTACGAGTTGTCGATCATTATCGGATTTTCTAATCGCAGCCAATATCCCGCATTACTTTGACATTACTTCTGACGAATAAAAAAAAAATAACTTTGTATCGTCATTTAATTTGAAAAAATATTTCTACGTATTTAACTAAAATTATTTATACATTATTTAAAAATCGGTGTATACTATGCACGATGCACCCCCTTGACAAAATTCCTGCCGGCGCCTATGACTTACATTGTTAATTTGAGAAGTTGAAATATTTGAAAAAAATTGAACTTTTTTCCGTGTATGTTTGTGTTGAGCGTTGTGAGACAATATGATATATTATAAGTTTGTGAGACTGTCAATACAATGTTTAAGATGAAAATGTTAACTCCCTGATAATATGAGTACTGTTATATACACGTTTCGTTGAAGTGGTTATTAGTTTTTTATAATAATTTATATAATACACATTATATAATATTCGCTTCGACTAAACGTCTATATTGCAGTGTTATCAATGTTTTTTTTGTTTTTTTATTAAACATTAAAGACTGCGGCAGCTCTGTTCATTAACGTAACAGTAATTTAAATTATTATTACTTCCTAAAAAATTATATTATCAATGTAAGGTTAATGGTTATTAGTTTTTATAATAATATATATAATACACATTATATAATATCAGCTTCGACGAAACGTTTATATAACATATGACAATATTATCAAAGACTGCGGTCAGAGTTTTATAATGCTCAATTTCAAGAATTAATAAAAAAAACTATATCTGTATCTTGTTATTGCAGACGCTGTCCACTACTATTACTATTTATATTATTATTACTATTGGTCTTAATATAATATAAATTGATTAGAAAATACAAATAGCAAGTCACTTTTAGAGGTAGAACTTAAATCCACTCAACGTATTTTAGCTACAAATTATCTACTGTTAAAGATATATTTAAAAAAAAATGTCATTTTCTAATTCGAACATTAGTGATTACGAAGAATCAATGACTGAAAGCGATGTAAGTACAAAATTAATATTAATTAATATTTATATATTTTAAATTTATATTTTTATAATATAATATATTTAATAGTTATATTTGAATAATACTGTATTACACTGGTTCAGTATTATACCCATTGCGAAATGGGACATTTCGCCTTAGGTATTGGTCACACTACACCCGATATCGGCCGAAAAACGTTCGGCCGTATACGCCCGAATATATTAATTCAATTGAATCTATTTATAATGGTCACACTAGTTCAGAATAATTCGGCCGTATACGACCGTTAACGGGCAAAAACAATATTATTTGTTTTTATCGGCCATTTGAAGCCGAAAATGGATATTTCCCACGCATCGTCTACCAATCCGAAATAATACCAATATAGTTGAACAATTATTATTATTAGGTTTTAGTATTATTATTCATTTACATCAAACACTAGTAAGAAGACGGTACGTCATACGTAACTAGTTTTTGTGTTTCATTGCCTGTGTTTTATTTAAAAAAAAGTACCTTGGAATTTTGAAATAATGGTTGATTGCGAACGACTAATTAGTTTAGTTTTTGAAAGAGAACCTATATGGGATTCTACAAGCAAAAAACACCATAATAGAGATATAACCAGAAAATTGTGGCAGGAAATTGAAAAAGAAATGCAGGTCAAAGGTAAGTAAATATAAAAATATAAATACATAAATTTAATAAAATATTGTAATTGAGATTATTGTTTATTATTATTATTATTAATATTGTGATGGTGGTAAATCTGAATTAAATTTGATAAATAGATAATAAATAAAATACAAATTTAGGTATGAATAATTATATAATATTATTATAGGTACAATTTAACAATTGTTACTTTTATTTTATAGCTACAACAGTTGTGAAATAATCTTTAAAAGTATCACGTATTATGTATGCTTCCGTTCTCGATCTGTTATTGCGTCTAGATACTGAATGTGTTTCTGAGTTTATAGTTGGGTCACGACGAACTTGCTCCAGTAGTGTTTCATCTATACCTTCTTTATCGATGATAATATTATGCAATAAACATATAGTCTTAATAACTATATCAACATGTTCCGGGTTCATTTGAAGTTCGGTTTTTAAACATCTCCATTTCGATACCAAAATTCCAAAAGTGCATTCAATCATACGCCGAGCTTTGCTCAAACGGTAATTAAATGTTTCTTTTGCCGAATCCAAATTTTTATCGAATGGATAGGGTCTTAATAGATACTCTTTCAGTGGATATCCTTGATCACCCAATAGAACAAATGGCATTGGAGTAGTTGTGTTTGGTAATGGTCTGTAATTAGGTACATTGAAGGATTTAGCTTCCAAATTTTTAAAAATATTTGATTCGGTAAATATTCCACTATCGCTCTGTCGTCCGTATGCTCCTATATCAACCGATATAAATTTATATTTGGCATCACAGACTCCTTGTAAGTGAACAGAAAAGTAACCTTTGTAATTATAAAACATCGAACCAGAGTTATTTGGGCATTTTATACGAATATGTTTTGAGTCAATACATCCAATACAGTTCGGGAATTTCCATAGTTTCTCAAAATCATAGGCAATTTGTTCAAATAATTCAGTGCTTGGGAACGGCATATGAATGCTAGAAAAAACCTCCCAAATAGCATTACAAGTCTCGTAGATAATTTTACCAATTGTATTATGGGCCATACGGAATGAAAATGACAACGCTCGATAAGATGTGCCTGTAGATAGATACCTAAAAAATACAAATAAATAAACATACATTTCCTTGAAAACAAATAAGCAATTATTGGCAAAACAAATCAAAGAACTTCTAAAAGTTTCAAGTACCCAGGAATAATATTTGTATGGTAATACTAAACTTGAACTTAAATAAATAAAAAATAATTATGTACATTATGCATGTACATGCATATATAATATTATGTATTTTTAATATTTTTAAACTGCTATTGTACTTAACAATTTGTGTGAGAAACCTTGTATTACATTTTTCAACTTTTTGAACCTTTTTCTAACCTTTCTAACCTTTTTCTATGAATGTCAATAAAATTGTATTTGTTGAGTAAAAAAATCTTAAAATTTTAATATAAGTCTCCTAATATATTGTTACAGTGATATTTTAAAAATATTAAAAATCTAGCCACATTTTTTTTTATAAGCATTTAAAGTTCAAATATTGATAAAATACGTAAAAACAACGAAAATGTGCAAATTATTTTGGACCTAGAAATTCATAAAAATGTTGCTTTGTAAATCTAAGATTTGAAAATGTAATACAAGATTCCTCATAAGTTTGTCCACCTTTAACAAAAAAAAATTCTACAAGATAGTCAAATTAAATTTTTATGAGCGTTTGAAGTACATATTTTTACAACATTGCATATTTACTCGATTTCTCATGTAGCGATTTTCTTATTTTGTTGATATTCAATAACGAATAACTGCGAATATATGTAATTTTCACTGAATGTTTATATTTTCATTTTCTAAACTTAAATAATGTTGACTCATTTTTACGGTAAATTTAAAATTTCAATTTTTTTAGTTTTTTTTTTTATAAATATCAATAAAATTTTATGTGTTGGGCTAAAAATCCTCCAAGAATCCTGATATATTGCTACAATAGTATAGTTGAAAATATTAAAAATACATAGACATAATTTTTTTTATAAGAATTTGAAGTTCAAATATTGAGAATATTTATCAAATTTAAAATTTAATAATTATTTTGTAATTAAAAATTTATAAAATATTCAAATTTTGTAGCTAAGGATTGAACATTTAAAACCTTCTCCATAGGTATAAGTAGTTATTTCCATAATCAAAAAATCTAAAAATATACACGAACACAGTTTTTTTTTTTAGTTATTTAAAGTTCAATTTTGAACGAAATTATATATTAAATATCCATGAATAATGATTTTACTTATTTTCTAAAATTTTATAATATTAATTCAACTTACCGCACGGATGCCGTAAATAAAAACAACTAAGAAGTAATAACAATACAAATATAATATGTATAAACATTTAGTAGGCTAATTTTTTTTTTTTTACATAGGTGATATTTTAAAGACTAAATGGGCAAGTTTGAGAGATACATTTAGGAAAGAATTTAAAAAATTAAAACGTCCCACAGGATCAGGATTAGAAGAAGAAGCTGTTGAATCTCAGTGGAAATATTTTGAGTCGTTATATTTTTTAAAGGATAATATAACTCCTAGAAAAATGGTGGGAAACATAGTAGAACAATCAAAAACTCATATTGATGAACAAGAGAGCTTTCCAAATTCACCATGTAATTCGTCCATTGATGTCGTGAATGATTTTGATGAAATAAGTTTTTCTGAAAAACGTACTGAAAATCCATCGTCTGGTATTTTATCTTTTGAAGAAGGACCATCATCAAAAAAAAAGAAGGGAAGAAATGATGTGATGCAAGATTTACTAGCAATCGAAAAAAAAAACTTCTACAGTTCAATACGATACAGGCAAATTCACAAAAAAAAAATAATGATGAAGATGAAGATTTTCATTTCCTTATGAGTTTGTTGCCTCATTTAAGAGAAATACCAAAACACAGAAAGTTAGCTGTAAGGCTTAAACTTCAAAATGTTGTAATGGCAGAACAAACCGAAAATACCACTGGATCAAGTAATACTTTTACTCCTTCAACATTCTTTGTCAATTCATCGATTCCCCCTATAACCTCATACTATATGAATCAGCCCGAATATTCTTCATCAAATGGCCAGTCTAATATTAAGAACACTATTCCTTGTGGTCAACCAAACTTAAATCCTACAGCTGTAGATAATGCATGTTTATCTTCTTGGCCAAACATTAACAATGAATAAAAAAAAATGTATATTTTATAAGCAAGTCAATTTTTTACTATAATATTAAAAAGTTATGTATTATTTTTTTTTTAAATTGAAAGTACGAAACGTTGTTTTTCTTATTAAATTGTTCAATAAAAGTTGTTTTCATTATTTTATTCTTATAAATTTGTTCAATAAAAATTTTTTTCTATTTTATACTGATCTATTTTTTCAATAACTTTATTCGTGTTATATTAAATTTGTGTAAAACAAAAACATAATTATAGCCTCGGAAAATTATAATTATCTCATTTCATATAAGTTATTTTATATATTAATTGAAAAATTATAAAGTAATGATTACCTATTAACAATAATATTAATATAAATAATAATATTTACCTTAAAGTTACTACAAGTCTTTCTTCTGGAATTATGCATTTTCTGAAACTGCAATACTTTTCTATGTATAGACGAATTTTTTCCAAAATATAAAAAAAGGTTTCGGGTCATATATTCAAAAAATTTGATTGGCTGTTTTAAAAGTTGTGGGAAAAGCGTGTGAAATTCACCATATTTTTCCCTTTCTTTAAATATTCTGTTGACCCACCATTGCCTTTCTACTTTTTCACTGAACAGTAAATACTTTAGAACAGGACTGGTTTCCAAAAAATAAAGTTGGTTGATTACTTCCATTTCATACAACTACTGAACAACGAATGAGGCATATTACAATAAATTCAAACGGTTGTGTATATTTGACCGATGACGGGTGTAGTGAGACCAGAAAATTCGGCCGATAAATGAACCCGAAAAATCGGACGAATTTGACGGTCTCGAATCGGCCAATATCGGGCGTAGTGTGACCAATGCCGTAGCCGTTTCGCCATGGCCGGTTAGCCGTGGCCGTTTCGCCGTGGTCGAATTATTCTTGCGAGATGATAGTGGTCCGAGTCCGGATAGAATATTAATTTTTGGTCATTCCCGAAGTCTTTATATACTACAGAACTCTGAAATATTGTATGTAGACAGTACATTTAAAATTGCACCTCCTCTGTTTAGTCAAGTTTATGTAATACTTGCCGAATATCTGGACAGTGTACTTCCATTAGTATATATTTTATTATCAGATAAACAATCAAAAACGTACGATAAAATGTTTTCAATCTTAAAAAATTTAAGACCCGATTTAAATCCTAGTTCTGTTTCATGTGATTTTGAACAAGCCGCAATAAAATCAATTAAAATAGCATTTCCTAATGTTCAAATATTTGGGTGTTTATTTCATTTGACGAAAAATATTCGAAAACAACTCGGTGAATTACATCTTATTTCTCAGTATAATAATATTTCCGACTTTGCAGTTTCTGTAAAAATGATTGTTGCACACTTGCACTAGCGTTCGTTAAATTAGAAAATCTTGATGCTGCTGTTGACGCGTTGGCCGAGTACCTTAGTGAAGAGTTTCATACTTTATTAGAATGGTTTGAAGACAACTATATTAGAAGGGTAAATAGAAATAGTAGAGGTAGACGGCATGCACGTTTTCCACCTGATATTTGGAATCTTTATAATAGAGTTTTAAATTCCCAAGATAGGACTAATAACCAAGCAGAAGCTGCGAATAGACGACTTAATGTCGAAATGGGAGTATGCCATCCGTCAATCTGGGCTTTTATTAATTGTTTGAAAAAAGTTCAATCTGGCCATGATTATTTTTATTCTCAGTTAACTGCAGGAAAAAGTCCACCAAAAAAATTTAAAAAAATTGCTGATCTAGATGAACGTATTTTGAAAATAGTACAACAATATGATAGTATAGAGACTACATTTCATATTTGAAAGGCATACCATATAATATCTCACTGCCATGATTACTGCTTACCTTTATTATTATTATGACGAAATATAGTATAAAAAATGTATTACTTTTATTAATTTTTACCTATTATTATTATATTTGTAATTATGAATATGACGAATATATTATGAATGTATTATTATTATAACGACGAAAATATTTATTATGACGAAATATAGTCTAAAAAATGTATTATTCTTATTAATTTTTACCTATTATTATTATATCTTTAATTATGAATATGACGAATATATTATGAATGTATTATTATTATAACGACGAAAATATTTATTATTAAATTTATTATTATTATGACGAAATATAGTCTAAAAAATGTATTATTATTATGACGAAATATAGTCTAAAAAATGTATTATTATTATTAATTTTTATCTATTATTATTATATTTTTAATTATGAATATGACTAATATATTATAAATGTATTATTATTATAACGACGAAAATATTTATTATGACGAAATATAGTCTAAAAAATGTACTATTCTTATTAATTTTTACCTATTATTATTATATCTTTAATTATGAATATGACGAATATATTATGAATGTATTATTATTATAACGACGAAAATATTTATTATTAAATTTATTATTATTATGACGAAATATAGTCTAAAAAATGTATTATTATTATTAATTTTTATCTATTATTATTATATTTTTAATTATGAATATGACTAATATATTATAAATTTATTATTATTATACGACGAAAATATTTAATGACCACGTCGAAACGGCCACGGCTAAATGTCCTCACGGCGAAACGGCCACGTCGAAATAGCCACGGCGAATTGTCCTAGATCCTACCCATTGAATACGATGTATATATTTTTACTAGATTTTCAGTAACCAAATTGTATATAATTTCAGAACAATTATAACGAGGTAAAACCGGGGACCACAAAAAAACAAAATAAAACAAAAAGAGATGTGAAATTGAAAAAAAATATGTGCAAAACAAAAGTTAAAAAAGTATGTAAAAAAAATTAAAAATTAAAAAATTTACAGTATAATAAAAAAAATTAAATAAAATTACAATTTTTATTATTATTATTAATACCTATAATCTGGATAGAATTGGTCCTTTAATTAAAGATGTGAAAGTAAATAATGAACTTATTAATTCGATGATGGTGAAACAAAGTGATGAAATAGTAAACATAAAATTACCATTTGATAACGAAGTATGTAGTGATTACTGGACAATAAATCACTATAAAATAAAAAATATTCAAAATCTTATTGCTACAGACAGGTAATATATATTATATAAATATATGATTCTTAGAATTTACATGAATACAACTTACAATGACTAACTCCTAAAAAAAAAAATAATTTAAGAAATTCATTGCTTGATGTATGTAATAGTTAAAAGGTTCTTATAATATATTAATGTGCCTGTATGTATGTATATATATTTGTAATGTAAAATACTTATCATTTTAATGATGTTATAGATGGAAAGAAGCTGAGTGCAGTGTAAAAGTATCGATAACTGATTTAGCAAAGGATCAAGGACTCGCAAACGATTTATCCAACATCATACTAACAATATTTACACGATTCATGTCTAATCCAAACAAGAAAATAGGATGTATTAAAAAATCAAAATCATAATAAATCTGTTTTTAATGGCTGTTGAAAATTAAAATAAAAAAAACCAATATATTAACTAATCGTACATTTATTTTTAAAAGTGATACAAAAGTAGTGTATATGATTTAGTGTCATGATGTGTAAAAATAAATTACAGGTTAATAGCTGATGTACCTAATTCTAACTCTTGTAATATCATATTTGATAATGAGTTATAATGATATTGTAATAATTCATACATAAAAGAAATATCATTAGTTTCTATATTAGTATAACTTAAGTTATAATTCTGAATATATGAGTTTGTAAATTCATTCCGTCGACAAGAAGAGGGTAACCCGTTAATATCTGCCATAATTAATGCATATGCTGTGTCAAAAGTCTTCTGGTAACATGGTAATTTTTTCTGCTTCTCGATTATATAGAGATCGATACAAGCTCCAAGATGATTCAGCCTTTGCAAATCGACATGTGATAAAGTTATATAATTTTCATTAGAATATAATATGATTGAAGACTGTTTCACATTAACGGAATAGCTTAAGTTATCAGTTATTCTTACACGTTTGTAACGATGCAGAATTGCTATTATAATTAAATATAACGGAATATGTGTCGCCATCTATACACGCGCCAACACGCGAACCAAAACTGTTAAACACGCGCCGCCGTAACGATAGGAATACCTACTCATGCTATCAACTTGTCACCGTAACGACTTATTTAAGCACATTGAACGATATAAGTTAAAGCTATACAACTCTCTTAACACGCCAAACGTATAAAGAAGTACCAAAGAAGTTGAATTAAGAAGAAAACACGTATTACGTCCAGAAAACCGATGACACAATGACGCCGCATAGAGTGCGCGCCGTTACGCAGGTTTTCCGACCGTCAACACTTCCAGCGACTTTATGATAAACAACCACGACAGCCCGTAAAACTGTTATAACCATCATCTTCCCCAGAAGATTACACCCTAATTACATGTAGCCGCCCACAGGGTAGAGAGACTACAACATACAGAAATACAATAAAAGCAACTACCTACTTTCATCCATACCACACACCGCCCGTAGTGCAAACATGGCATAAATATGAGCCAGCACGGTCAATGGAATCATCAGTTCAATCAATTCACCAGTTTCACAGTTCGACTCATCAGATCGCTTCGCATAGTATCGACACGCCGCCTTTTCAGTAGTGTGTAACTTAACACCGCCTTCTCCCGCAGAGCCCTCTCCCTATACTCGCAGTGTGAGTGGTGGTACGCCTCAAAACGTACTGTTCAAGCCACTCACCCTTAACAGTAGAAGGAGAGGAAGATCCCCCCAACACTCTCGCTAGGTATCGGTGGTGGTACGCCTAAGAACGTACTGTTCAAGCCCCCGGTACCCAGTTGCAATAGTCGTTGTTTATCCCCGTTGCCGCCGCCGCCACGACGAGCGCGCCGCCGCGACCGGTAGACTCGCATTACCGTCCCACCGCGTGTTACGATCTTTGCTACGCCGAGCGCCGTTATCACGCCGCGTGTCATATTATTATCGCTGCCGCCACTACGAGCGCGCCGCTGTAATCTCGTATCAGTCCGTTGCCGTATCACCGTTGTTGTTGTCGTCGTTCACGTATCGCAGACGTATTGACGGTACGCACGACAACCAACGCATGATACCACATTGATACATATCAATATCGTCAACCACGTTGGAACCAGTCGAGGAGAGTGCAGTACCTGTACCCCGAGGACAAGTCAAGCCACCGCCCGGGAACATTTGGTATCGTTGTCATCCAGCACCACCAGCAGAGTAGGCTGCCATTGGACACAACATACACGTAGTCTGTCTCTTACTTTCACGGGCCACGTGAGTCTTTAGATATTGTAATTTATCATCCCATATTTAAATAAAAACCATATCTGTAGCTCAACAGAGCATATGTATGTTAAAAGAAAATACTGTACAACAAAACTGAATAAATTAATTATTTTGAACTGAAATAAAATATCTGTAGCTCAACAGAGCATGTGTAAATGAAAAGAATATATTGTAACACAATTAAATAAATCTGACAATTCTTTTCAAAATGCAAGAATAAAAACACTATATATCAAACAAAAACAACCGGTGTTTTGAATTCTTACACGTTTACATCGGTTTCGTAGATTATCAATAATTGCTTTATAATTATTTTCACACATTAATGATTGCCATTGGTCTAGATCGAGGCTTAAACTCTTTTTAGTAATCATACATTTTAATATTACAACAATCGAAATCTTTTTGTTAACTAACAAACCTACTTTTACACTTTTCTTTCCATATTGACGAATTTCAAATTCTGACCTTGAGACAATCGGTGAAATCATATTGTAGCGAGCTTATAATACTTACCGATATATTTTTGTTCGTTCTGGCGATTATTGTTTTAAAAAATTATACTATGATTATCAGAGTGTTAATTGTATACTGATTATATTTTATTCATACAACAACGTTTTATACTAAAAAAGTTAAATACAATTTCAAAAAAGTAAATACGTGACCTAATTGATAAGTGTGGAGGGAGGGAGCTTATTATTAATTATATATCTCGTATTATTCCTGCAAATTAAATGAAACAAACATCTGTTACCTAGATTTGAACCTTATATATTGAATTAAAAACTTCACGTCTTATCCATTAGGTCACGTATTTACAAGATATAGAATGGAATAATAACACATTTAAACTGTTTTAATAAAATACAAAATTTTATTTTAATATCGTTCATACGTTTAAGCAGTTGAGCGAGTGACATATTTAGTTTCACAATTACATTAAGTTCTTCCATATTTGGTTATTATGTTTTCTACAAAGTGGTTACCTTTTGATAATAATACATAAATACATTTGGAATTATGTCTCGAGTGTTCGATCCATGGAATGTCATCTTTCTTCCAGTCATGTAATACAAGTCCGCAAGAGAAGCATTCCACAATATCTTGAACCCCTGTATATATAAAGCCGCATTCAGACAATACATATTTGTTTTGAGGTATAGTTGACGGAAATGTATTATATGTTTTTTATCTTGATGTGAATGTATCATATTGCGGATATGTTGGATATGGTTGGTTTCGTATTAAAGAAACTAATGAAGAATAATTGCTGGTGGTTTTTTGAAAGTTCATGTTTTTTTTATTTTAAAGAAAAAACATTAAATTGGAAATTTTTACTTAAAAAATAAATGTATAAGTGAAACAAGACAATAAAATAAAAAGCATAACTTGGTTTAACAACGGATTATTCGTTACTGAAATGTATAGCTAACTTAATTTTAGTACGAGTGACTATAAAAAGTTCAGTGTTGCCAACACTTATGAGTAATACATTGATGGTAAAAACATATTTATTTTGTTTGTGTAACAAAATGATATAGACACAGTTATGTGTTGTGTACTTGTGTTGTACACATTACACAACACATAACTTTTACTTGTGTACAATTTGTGTTACACGGTGGAGCATGTAGAAATGCCCCCCTTGAAATGATGAAATCTCCCTGTAAAAAAGGTGATCAGAAGGAACATTAGGGTTTTTGAGATTATGTGTTACACGGTGGAGCATGTAGAAATGCCCCCTTGAAATGAAGAAATCTCCCTGTAAAAAAGGTGCTCAGAAAGCACAAATATACATATACTACTGTCATGGTGTACCGCATTGAAATGATATTTATTGAATATATAATTTATACACTCACCAAAGACGGCACTGCTGTGGGCCACAGACGGCGTCGTTCCGCGTTTCCCACTGCGTAGTCAATACCGGGGACAAAATGCCTCGAACACAACTTTCATGTGTGGGTCACGGGAAAACCTTGGTCAACCACAAATGCCTGCCACTGAAGACGATGATGTGCGACACTTGGAAATCTAAGGCAACATATAATCTATTATAATATATTGATAAGTAGGTATTGGTACGTGTTGGGTGAATTCCTTGTGTATGGAAACGTGGATAATGTTGTCCACAATTCCGCATAGCGCGCATCGTTTGACCATTTTGAATAGCCTAAAAGCATCACGAACAGGTTATAGTAATAATAAGTTAAAATTGAATACTAAATATGAAACTCTTAAAAAAAAAATCGTCGCAATCGTATATTATAACGACTGTAGGTATCAGTTTGTTATCAGCGGTGAGGTATGAGACTTGGAACACTCGTGTGTTATTTTTAGAATTAGGGGATGTGCATAAGAAATAGAAAAATACCAAAAATGACATAAACAGCACAGTTAACTTTTAACGCAAAATGTCAAGCGATAAAACACGTGTACCTACCGCAATGGTAACGCGCCGAAACGGCCAACGGACTTACACGTCGACTGGATAATACACAGCTAATACGAATGCGGATATAAAAAAGTTATAGGTATTCAAAGTAGGTACATTTGAATAAAAAAATGAAACACAAAACTCGCCATTACAACGACGTCTGTAGGTGGTGCAAACACGTTCGTTCGCGAACCTGTAGTTTATCTGAATATTATATAGTAGTAGATATTATAAAAGTTGTACTCACCGGTATGTGAAAAGCGCCCAATGCAGGACAACAAAGTTCAAAGAAAAGCACCGAATAGTAAATAATAAAACGTATAACTGTATTTGGCTTTTCCAAGAGACTTGATGTGTGTTGCAAGAGCGCCGGTCACGAGTTGCTGCAGGACGCAGGTTGTGCGTTTCGCGTCGACAAAGTTTTCCCCCCGAGGCTCCACTCCACCCAAGTACGCATGTAAGACGGACCCGCGTAGCGTATCCCACCAAAGTCTTGGAACCGTTATCTTAATATTGGTAACCACGGGTCTAACATCAGGGGCGGACTGGCAGATCGGGAGATCGGGAAATTTCCCGATGGGCCGGTCGAATAATCGAATTATGGGGCCGGACAATTTGGTTGTACAATTAACTTATTACAATTTTTAGATTATAATAAGAGTTTATCAGTTTTTGGTAAATTTAAAATCTATAAAATATAACATAAATAATACGTTAATACGATAATAATCGTACCTTAAGGCTTAAATATAATTTTGCTTTTCTAAGAAACATACGAAACATAAGGTATTTATATAAATAGAAATTACGCTGCCGCCTGCCGGCCGCCGTTTCCGTGTTGTTTATAATATACGATATCGATATATTATTAATTCGATGTATTATTGTTGTTAGTTTTTATATAATTTAAAAATAAACTGTTTTCGTCCGCGACTAACAACACTGTCGTCAGTGCTATTATATAAAACATAAATATTACTTATTAGTTCATTTGTATTTTGTATTGTCAAGTGGAAAGATTACTTTCGAAGCAATGTTTACGATCATAACCTCAGCTTTTTAAAGGTAAGTCAAATCAATTTTTAAATAATATATTATTATAATTTATTGTAAAGAAAGTAAAGTTATTGTTATAAGGCCTATACATTTTAATCTATATTTAATTATTATTAAAAATTGGTTAAATGGTTTAAAATATAATAGAATTATTAGTTTTAGAGGTCTATCCGGATATCCCCTATTAGCTATTTGAATTTTGAATCCCACCGTGTGTTGTTGTTTTGTCGTTTTTAAATTGAATTCTTCTGAATTCATATTGTTACGGTTCCCTAAGACCACATATTTTATATTTTTCTATAGTATTTGAATAAAAATGCTGATAAAAACCAAAGCTCTGGATCCAAACGTAATATTTTTAGATTATTATTAATAAATAATAATTTAACTCTACCTTTTGTTATTTATGTTATTCAATTATAATTTATGTATTTTATATTCTAACTATAATATAAAATATAATTTTATTTACATGATAAATTACTATTGAGTTATATTATATATTGAGGTTCTTCAGTAATAAAAAGAGAAAAACTTTAAAGTTTATATAGAAAATTTCAAATATTTATTACTCTTAAGTGTTTTATTTAAAATTATGGATAACTAAACATTATAAATAGTAAATGTTCAATATGGTTTTATTTAACACTATAAAAATAATTATGATACCTATGTAGCTTTTTAGTGTTTGTACGCCACAGAAGGAAAATATTTTTTTGTACTGGTTGACGATTACCGACTAATAATATAAAAGAAATATACCTATTGATAGCAAATAGGGTGGACATCAAAGTTACAAAATTTTACATTTGCATTTTTTTCTATTCACCCTATTTTATGGTATTTAATTATCGTTAGTTAATTATTAGAAATAACTATATAGAAAGATATAATAGTTTCAGTGTTTTGAAAATTCATATAACATTCAATTTTAATAATTAAGGCTTGAAAATTGAGTAGAGGGTTTTAGCGTTTTACTGTATTTTAATAATCCTCATTTAACTTTTGGTTACATCAAACATCCCTAATTGTTATATTTTGTAAAATTTTTAGAACCAAATATCTACCCTGCAAATTAAAAAATTAAAAAAAAATTTAATAGAGCAATCATGAATATTGATGAAACAAAAAAACGTAAAGGAGGTGCGGAAAAACAACGGGATAAGAAGGCGAAATTATTAAACAAAGAAGTAAAAAGGTGTGGCAACGTAAGAGACATGTTTATTAAAAAAATAAATCATAATATGGCAATGAATATGTGAGCAGACTTCAATACAACTTATATGTAGTACTGAAACAAAACTAGAAGATAATGAAGGAAGTATTGTGGATTTCCCTGATATAGACGATCCAGAAAAAATTAACCCAAATATCAGTACAAATAAGTTAGAATGTGAACAAACTTCAATAAAACTTATATGTAATACGGAAACAAAACAAAACAATAATCAAGAAACTATTGTGGATTTCGAAAATGCAACAAACATTATTGACAAATTCAAAAAACCAGAGAAGTATGAAGTTGATGCATTTTTTAAATTTCATCCATACCAACCTACTATTAATGTTCCATTTAATCCAAAAAAAGCATATAAACGTACAGACGGGATACATCGAAAATGGTTGACTTTTTCTGAAGCTGAGAGTAAATTATTCTGTTCAGTATGCATTGCATTTTGTGCGTCATCAGATAGCAACCCATTTACTTTAGGCATGGACAGTTGGAAACATGTTTATCAACGTATCACGACTATCACGGAACCTAACTAACCACTAACCTACATTTTACCATGCAAAATCAGTGGACGCTTTTCTTTATCATGAGCATAGAGCAAATATTCCGCACATGTTGTTTTCATCAGCCAGGGAAATTCGACGTAAAGAAGTTATGGAACGACACCAAGTACTAGAAAGAATAATTGAAACTATTAAGTGTATCGGAAAAAATAGTATGAGTTACAGATCTCATACAAATGAATCTTCATATACTTTAGAAAATAATAATGTGAGTCTTGGCAACTTTTTAGAAATATTATGTTTAATATCAAAATTTGACGATGTTTTAAGACTTCATTTAGAAAACGTAATTAATAAAAGCAAAAACAGACTTGAATCAAATTCTAGTATAACTAAAGGCAGAGGAAATCTTATCACCTTCATTTCAAAAACTACAGTTACATATATCATACAAATACTTAAATCATTAATACAAGAAAACATTGTAGCAGACATAAAAGAAGCAGGAATATACTCTAATAATATCTCTATCCCCTCAGGTGTCCCACAGGGAGGTCATATTTCGCCACTACTTTTTATATTGTACATGAATGACGTTGGCTTAGTTTTTAAACATACACAGTTTAGTATGTTTGCCGATGATTTAAAACTATTTTATAATATTAATTCATTAGATGATGGCTCTAAATTACAAGACGACTTTGATAATTTCAAAGCCTGGTGCTATAATAATGGTTTACAAGTTAACATTAATAAATGCAATTCCATCTCTTTTTTTCGTACCAAATCTCCGCTCAATATTGCTTATTACTCCTACAATTACCTTTTACCTAAAGTGGACTCTATTGAAGATCTTGGAGTTATTTTTTCTAGTTCACTCTCTTTTACTGCGCACATTCAATCAATAACTATAAAAGCATCACGATCACTTGGCTTTATTATCAGAAACACTCGCGATTTTAATAACATTGTATCATTAAAAATTCTTTATTTTTCTCTAGTACGTTCCATACCTGAATATTGCTCCATTTTGTGGAACCCTTACCAACTTGTATGGATAAATAATCGAAAGAGTTCAAAATAAATTCCTAAGATTTATTAATACTTAAATTCCTAACAATTGCATAATAATTGATCATTGTTATGAACCACTTAGAAGACTGGCTAATATCAACTCTCTAAGTTCAAGACGTCTATATTTTGACGTCATATTTATTTACAAAATCTTACATGGCACTATAAAAGATAGTTTTCTGCTCAACCAAATTAATATGTCAGTTCCTACATTTAATTCTAGAAGCCGCCCGACCTTTCACATTTCTAGTCACAATACACTTTACGGTTTTTTTCCCGTATTAACAGAGTATTAGTCTCCTGTAATAACCTACAAAATAAATTTGATATTTTTCATTCCTCTCAAAAAGCGTTGCAAAATAATATATTTTCTTTCTAAACATCTTTTCTGTTTAATATATTGTATACCTACAACCAACTTATAAAACCAGTGTGTTAACAAATTAAGTTAATATTGTAATTTTATAATGTTGAATCTATGTATGTTTTTGTTCAAACTAGCTTAAGTATTTAATTAATCTGTGCTGATTGCCTTCGGGCGTGTATTTCAAATAAATAAATAAATAAATAATATATGTAAATACATCTATTTAATTCATGTTATTAACATAATTGTTTTGATTGTATATAGAATAAAGTAACAGATTGGTTAGAAAATCAAGATTTAGATCAAAATCTAGAAACCGCATTGTAATGGGATTACGCAATTCATGTACAACGCTCATAATAACAAGAACCACTTATGTGGAAAGCGGCCTCGTCGACCGCACCCAAAAGTGGTCATAGCTAGAATAGACGCTTCAAACCACAACAACTTCCAAGGGCGCCTACATGCCACGCGCCGCTCAATTCAAAGGGCGTCGCCTTCGTATATTCGTAGAAATAGAGGCCATGGCCCCAATACACATTAGATGTACCAGAGCCGCCAAGACCGAGCGAGCAGCTTATGCACCAGCCATTGCACGCAGCCTTACACGGAGATTATCAACTACTACAACGAGTCAACTCACGACGCTGCAATTCACCACGACTATATTAATTATTATTGGTTTTAATAAAGTACAATTGATTCATATTTAAAATTGACTATATTTTATTGTAAAAGTGCATTCAGCTTTTGGATCCCGGAAGGGCCGTACGTAACACTGGCGCAGTCGAAGTAGGATTTCTTTCAAAGGAGGCAACCCGTCAACAAAGAAGAACTGATCACTCTTCCGAGAAGACAACTCCAAGAAGAACCATCAAAAACAAAAAAGTCACGTCGCGGTACCAACAAATCCATCAGCACCGTCAGCATGTCATCAGCAACCAGGAACACAGCATTATTGTGAGTGAATAATTATTTTAATTTGTTACATAGGCATATGCAACATAATTAGGACATATTAGATAATTCTAAGTAGTTGACTATAAGTATAATGGTGTAAAACGTTTTAAATTTTATTGAGGGCATATTTTATTGATTATTATTGAAGTTTGTTGAATTTATTGAGGGCATATTTTTATTAAAGTTAATATTGATTATTATTGAAGTTTTTTGAATTTATTGAGGGCATTTTATTATTGAAGTATTATTGAAGTTTATTGATTTATTGAGGGCATTTTTATTATAAAGTATTATTGAAGTTTATTGAATTTATTAGAGGTCACATTATTAAAGTTATTATTGTATTTATAGGGCATTATTGAATTATTTTTGAGTATTATTATCATGAGTATTAACGTATTAAATAGGTAGCTAAGTAATTTATGGACGAAAAAGGTACATCTCCCTTGAACGTAGCTAATTCATTGTATGACACTAGTGTAGTAGAAGAAGCCCAGTTAGAAGCCCAGGAATTAGCCCAAGCCCAGTTTGAAGCCCAACAGAAAGCCCAGTTGAATATTATAGTAGATACCCAGTTAGTAGGTAGCACAAGTAAAAACCCAAGTCCACAAGTAGAAAAAGGAGTAGTCACACGTAGCCAAGTTACAGATAGTTTTGAACATCAGTCATTCGATTTTATATCTAAACCACGCACTAAAAAAATGGCAGTAATCATATAATTAGAAGACGCTTTCAAATTAATTCCACAATGCTCAGGAATAGACGATATTTATCAGTTTATAAATGCATGCGATATGGCAGTAAGTTTAGTCGACGCAAACAGCGCACCAATACTAGTAAAATATATTGCTACACGATTAACGGGTAGAGCATTAGAAATGATTAAATATAAAAACGTACCAAAATGGCAGTATATAAAAACTTATTTAACAGATGCATTCGAAGCGACAACCAATGCATCGTCGTTACAACTTCAATTAAATTCGATTAGAATGTATCACAATGAAGATGCAAATGATTATTGTCAGAGAGTAGAGAAACTATATTATCAGTTATGTACCGTAAGTACATTAGGCAAAGAACCTACAGAAGCAAGGGTTATACATGAAACATTAAGGGAACAAACCCTAGCAATATTTATTAAAGGATTAGTAGACCCGATTAGAACAATAGTAAAATCTCGTAATCCCAAGACTCTAGAGATCGCAAAACAACTTGCTATGTCGGAACATGTAGAACTAAGATTAGAACAGGAAAATAGGAACCATTATTCGAGTAGTTATTCACAAAACAATAATCAACGTAGGTCAAATTATGAAAATAGGAACAATAGAAACGTTAGACCAAATAATTCTGTAAGGCCGAATAATTTTGAACGAAATAATTACCAGCGAGCGAACAACTTCTCTCAACCAAATAGGCCAACAATAAAGTGTTATAATTGCAATGGAAATCATTTTGCATCACAATGTAGAAATAATTCGAGACCTAACTACGCAAGCAACGGCAATAACAACCGTCCACCTAATAGAAATAATTTCACGCAACCACCGAAAATTATAATACGCAAAGAGTTACATGTTCATACTGTAACAAAACCGATCATAAAATAGATTCGTGCTATAAAAAGAGAAACGATGAAAGGAGAAATAATTCGGGAAACGCCAACACGAACGAGGTACGCGGTACTCCAGCTATATAAACCAGATTATCGAGGAGCAGCCAACTCACGAATATTCCACATATTCGCAACAATAGAAAATAATCATATAATATTCAATTCTATCGGAGCAAAAACAAATCAATTACACTTAATGATAGATACAGGTAGTCAGGTAAACATTCTTAAAATAAATTGCTTACGCGAAGAATTAGAAGTAGACGAAACACAAAAAATAAATCTGCGCGGTATAAATGAATGTCTCACAAAAACCATAGGGAAAATATCAATATTAATCAAATTAAATGGCGAAAATATTAAAACAGAATTTCATATCGTGAGTGCTCAATTCCCAATACCTAAGGACGGAATATTAGGAAACGAGTTCTTGTCGAAAAATAACGCAATAGTCGATGTAGCGAACAACAAATTAATTTTTCAAACGACCTCTCATACACTAACAAATTTCAAGGAGGCCGACAAAACCTGTTTCATTAAATTAAAACCGCGGACCGAAACTATTGTAGGAATACAGATAGCTGACCCACTAATAGAAAGCAAGGAAATATTTATACATAAACAAGAACTTGTAAAAGAAGTATATTGCAGTAGTACAGTGTCTTTCGTTAATAATGGTTAGCATGTTGAATATATCGGAAAAAACGAAAAATATATCTGAAATCGATTTAAATAAAATACTCTTTGATACCGAATACGAAATATATAATGTAGAATCGACAAATGATCACAATGAACGAATAGAACGTTTGAAACAAATAATAATAACTGACCACATGAATGAAATTGAAAAACAATCCATTTATGAGATATGTGAACGATATAATAGTATATTTCATTTGGAAGGAGATGTTCTAACCTTTGCCAATGTAGGTACACATTCTATTAAGTTAAAAAAGGATCAACCACCTATCTATCGTAGACCTTATAGATTACCACACGCTCAATAGGAGGAAATAAATTCACAAATTCAAAAAATGGATGAAAATGGAATTATCGAGAAATCGAGAAGTCTATGGAATTCCCCACTATTATTAGTACAAAAGAAAATGGATAATTCAGGTAAACAAAAGTTTAGAGTAGTAGTAGACTTTAGGGCACTTAACGAAGCTAATGAGTTTCACCCTTTACCAAATATTACAGAAATACTAGATCAACGAGGAAATATTCTCCCTCTTAGACTTATCAAGTGGTTTTTACCAAATTTTGATGGAAAAAGACTCACGAGAGTTAACAGCCTTTTCGACTAACCAAGGTCACTGGCATTTCAAACGAATGATACAGGGAATGAAGACAAGTCCCGGAACTTTCCAAAGAGTTATGAATTCAGCTCTGGAAGGTTTAATAGGAATAAAATGCTAAGTATATTTAGACGATATAATAGTATATGGGAAAAATTTATATGATCATAACGAAAAATTAGTAGAAGTTTTCGAACGATTACGGATAAGCAACTTAAAATTACAACCAGATAAATGCAACTTCTTAAAAAGAGAATGTGTATATCTAGGACACGTTATTACGAAAGACGGAATAAAACCCGACGAACGTAAATTAAAAGCAGTAGTAGAATTTCCAATACTAATGTAACGAACATGTCGTCATCGACATCGCACATTACTCCTAGTATGCCGAGTAAGGAAAAATATTAAATATATATTATGCTGACGCGATGTTTAGCTGACATCACGTCAATAACCGACCAGAACTCCTGGCGGAAAATAGTCAAGAGTGAAGAGTGATAGTGAATGGTCGACAGTGGAAGTCGAGAGCGGACAACGACCAAAAGAGGACCTGTGGACGCCAGCTCACAAACCTCGGATAGCAGCACCCACGACAAGTCGACACCACATAGCTCCACCAGTGACCCTCAGTGAAGCTAATCTATAAGTATACCTATCTAATAATTATATTTTAATGTTCTTATATTGTAAGATTTGATTTTAATAACAGTTACAAAATTATATATATACTTGAGTACTTGCTTTACATAAGGTAACCCTGATCCCTAGCAATAATCTCACACACCGAGGTCGAGTTTCCAAGACCTCGTTAATATAAACAGAACTACACCGAGGGGTGCGACCCCCAGGTGAAGAGGAGACGTTACACTAACAACTGTAAAAAACATTAAATCATTTTTAGGATTAAGTGACTATTACAGAAAATGCAAAAATTCATATAGTGCAATAGCAAAGCCATTAACCAATCTTTTAAAGAAAGACACGAGTTTCATATGGAGTAACGAATGTCAAAAGTCATTCGATACCTTGAAGGCAGCGTTATGCTCAGAACCAGTTCTTAAATATCCGGATTTCACAAAGACCTTCTTATTAACTACAGACGCGAGTAATAAAGCACTCGGGGCCATTTTATCTCAAGGAGAAATAGGTAAAGATTTGCCAATATGTTATGCGTCGCGCACATTAAATAAAAGTGAAGGCAACTATTCAACAACAGAATTAGAATGTCTTGCAATAATATTCGGAGTTAAACAGTTCCGATCATATTTATACGGTAGGAAGTTTATAATACTTCGTCGTAATACCATCGTCCATTAACATGGCTCTTTAATTTAAAAAATCCATTATCGAAGTTAGCTAGATGGAGAACACAATTAGAAGAGTACGATTATGACATACGTTACAAACCCGGAGTTTTAAATTCAAATGTAGATGCACTCGCCACTCACACGCATGTATTCTATTCAGGAAATAAAAAACGAATCATATGAGAAATTCCTCGAAAAATTAGAAACACAAATTATCACGAATAGTAATGTAAAAGAAACTATAGGTACACTAATAGATTCACCAAAAGAGTATAATATAGTGTCAGAAATTCCCAAGCAATATAATTTCAGAACAGGAACGAATTATCAGTTAAAAAAACAATTTGGAAACGGTACAATGTTGCCGATTAGTAAAGTAATAGGGGACACACCATATTTTAAACATGAAAACCGCTTTATAATATTCTTAGTAACGAAAAACAAAGACCGACAGAAGGCCACTTACGAAAGCATATATGTATCACTAATAAATTTTAAACTATTTTGTAAGGAAAACAATTTGAATAAATTAGCCATGGGCAAGTTAGGCGATCACGATGATTTAGAATGGGAAAAAATAAGGTCAATGTTGCGATACATATTTCGCGAAACAAATATAGAAATAATTATATGTGCAAATGTAGAATATAGTGAAGAAGAAAAAGCAGTCATTTTATCACAATTTCACGACTCAAAACTAGGCGGACATTTAGGTGTGAATAAAACTACTAAACGTATCAGACAACAATTTATGTGGAGGGGTATGAAAGAAGACGTAAAAAAATTTATAAGGATTTGTACGTCATGTCAGGTTAATAAGGTATCAAATCGGCACATAAAAAACCAATGGCTATTATATCCACTTCGTCTAAACCATTCGAAAAAATATTTATGGATATAGTAGGGCCCTTGCCGATTACACTGTCCAATAATGTATACATTTTAACGATGGAGGACGATTTGACACGTTACTCTTTAGGAATTCCACTTCCTGACCAGAAGGCAAATACTGTTGCGGAAGCTTTTGTTACACACTTCGTATGTGTACACGGCATACCAGAAACAATACTCACGGATCAAGGAACTAATTTTCTCTCGAAAACGTTTGCAAATGTTTGTAAAATATTAAAAATAGAAAAGGTTAATACAAGTCCATTCAGACCGCAGGGTAACCCCGTAGAACGCTCTCATAGGACTTTAGCCGAGTACTTACGGCATTATGTAGATAAGAATTTAAATAATTGGGATAATTTACTACCCTTTGCATTCTTTGTATATAATTCAACGGTACATACTTCTACGAATTTTCAACCATACGCATTAGTCTATGGACCTACATTGGAGGTCCAGATTAGATTAAAAGCCGAACCTGAACCACGTTGCAATTACGACGATTATATATTCGATCTAAAAGAAAATATGTAGATATCGCATAAAATAGCTAGAGATCATTTAATTAAAAATAAAATAAAAAGTAAGGAACGTTATGATAAAAATGAAAATCCACAAGAATTACATGTAAAAGATTTAGTACTTTTACAAGATAATAATCATAGAACAAAACTCGATCCAATCTGGCTAGGACCATACGAGGTCACAGCAGTACTAGGAAACAAAAATGTAGTTATACAGCGGGGCCGACGAGGCATCACTGTACATAGAAATAACGTAAAAATATATTTTAATGACTTGCAAGTTAATCAGGGGAAATAATATTATAAAATCATATTGATATTTAAGTTAGAATAATTATATTAATTTTAGGAATAGAAACAGAACATTCATTTTGAAACTGGAGGAAGAAATAATAAATGGAAACCACGATACAACCAATTTAGGCATAGGACAATTTCCGAAATGTTTTATAGAACACATAATTAGAGCAAATAATAAATTAACCGAACCGTTCACCGAAGCAGAATTAAATGAGATCACCCTCAACATAAAATTGTTTCTGTATGATATGACAGAAAATAGAATGGAAGTTCTGAAAAAAATTAACTGTCAGGACCTAATTGAATTTATCGACATTATTCCGGAACCAGAAGACCTACTGTATTACAACAATTTATTCTCAGAAAATAATTAATAACTCGGTGTATTAAAAAAAAAAATAACAATAATATAAAATAATTAAATCAACGACGTTGGGATCAAAAGACCCAATAACCGGTCTTCGACGATTTCCGCACATTCTGAATTATTCAGAATCAGTATCAGATACAGATCCGTCCTCCTCGCCGTCGCTCATTAAAGCAGCCCGAACCACGTCGTCAGGAGGAGGTGTGAATCCTTCTGGCCATTCCACTTCTAACGTAATATCAGGACGTCCTCGCACTAGGAAAAAATATATATATAATAAAAATAGAATATAGTAACAAAATGTATGAATTCACACAATTACGAAGAACATATCTTCGGCATCTCTCTTCTTTCGTTTGATAATCGGAATTTTTCGATGGATCCATTTATAACAAATCTAAAAAAACACATGTGATAAAATATAATGGCTTTAATTATATAAGAATAAAATAAGATAGTTTATATAATATAAATATAATTTATACTTTTAGATTGGTGATGGTGACGTGTTTTCTAGTCAATACTATCGAATCTGACGAAATAAATACATCAGAGTACTTTTCATATAAGCCTTATGAAAGTGGCAGGGGAATACAATATGAGAATTTGGGACCAGTTAGATTAATAGGGGCTCGATACAGTCTGGTAACGTTTTTCTCATTAAAAGAATATAACATGAAATATGAGTTATTGGGGGAAAAATTAAAAAATATAACAAATATGTGTACTGACCAGAAACACCAAGATCTATGTGGAAAATATCAAATAGTAATTACGGATTTATATAATGAAATAACTAAATAGAAAGAACGAATGTATATGTCACTAGGAAGTACTATACAGGAAGATACACAAAGAAAGAAAAGAGGATTAATAAACATAATAGGTAACACCATCCATACAATATTTGGCGTATGTGATGATAAATGCACTAAAAAAACACAAGAGGCTATAAAAAAAACAGAATAATCAGGAACTAACATATTGCATATAATGGAAACCCAAACTACTGTAGTAAAATCAACAATATGAAATATTGGTAACACATTAAACCAAACCGAACAACTATACAATAATATTACGGAAAAGGAGCAACAACTAAATGAAAAAATGTCAAAAATACAGAACAAAACAAGATATATTAGATTTACTAATGAAAAATGAAATACATAATTTATATACAATAATTACAAATCTATATTCCTACGAAACAGAAACATTAGGACAAATAGTAACTGCCGCTAGAGAAGGAATGATACATCCAAGTCTTATGACACCGCAAGAACTATACTCCGGCCCACGAGAGAGTATTACCGTCGCCCGACGAAAACTCGTCCGATTCCGCGCATTCCCCACTACTCGGCATGTGCCGACAACTGTTCGGTACCGGTCGGCAGCGCTCAACGCTATACGGTGTATAGCGGTCGCGGAAATAGTGGGGGAAATGGGGCCTCAGAACGGTCTCCGCCGTCAGTCTGCATGCGCAAAACGGTAATACTCTCTCGTGGGCCGGAGTATAGCATCAACATTAAAAACAATAGAACAAACTATAAAGAAAATATATGTATAGTATTCCGATGGGAACAAGGAGATGGGAACTAAATGAATTTCAAAAAATTACAAAAATAAGAATCTACTATACAGACAACAAATTAGTATTTGATATAGTAATACCATTAATTGTTGACACTGGACTTACATTATATAGGTTAATACCAGTACCAATGCGTCATAAGCAAGATAATTTTAGTGGGTGGTACATGATGGACATTATTTACAATAATATTGCAGTAACCAAAGGTTATAAAAGGTTTACTACATACACACATCAACAATTAAACGAATGTAAGGAAACTTCAATATATAGAATATGTAAAACACCACAACCTATACAGGATAACAACGAACGCCAACCATGCGAAGTGCAAAACTTTATAAAATCTGACACATATTCTAATCCTGAGTTATGTACAGTAAAGAAAATTAATTTAAAGAGATGCATATACCAAAAATTGCAAAATAAAAACACATGGATTCATGCAGGAAAAGAGACACTAACAATAAGTTGCACCAACCTAATAGATCCATTCATAACAGAAACAAATGAAGCAGGAGAAATAACTATAAAAGACATCAGTTGCCAAGTATTTGCACGGGACGCAGTATTAACTGCCACGGAAGAAATTCAAAATAAAAAACTTAAAGACTTCACACCTGTAACTAACATGAATAATATTTTGGAGAAAATACCCGAACATATACACAAATTTGAAACAGATGAAAAATGGGAAAAAGGACCAGCTATGCAATTCACAGATTTACACGACGCATCCAAATCTTTAGACGAGGTACAAAAAATGATTAACCAAGAACTTTCAAGAGAACAAAATCAAAAACATCAATTTGTACACAGTAATTTATTAAAGGTAACAATATTACTAGCATTGTTATCTCTCGTACTTATAATAGCAATATATATATTAATTAAATGCTAATATATTAGTAATGGACAGATAAGAGATATGCCATGTAGAATAGTTAGATATAGAACACCAGGTACAAACGATTACATAAGAGAGACATTGTTTACCGCACAAGATAGATAGAATAAAAATATATTAAAACAGTCGCTAGCCATAACTTTAAATTTAATTAATAATAAAATAAATATATAGAATAAAAATAATATAGTTCATACAAAACGAAAATAAATACGTAACATATTAATAAAAATAATAAATACTAAGTAATAAAATAAATATTATTCATGCATAATAAAATAAGTCGTAGAATAATACTTACAGGTAATCACGATGTAACAATTATATAACTGGTCACTTTAATTATTTCAGGAACTAAAAAGAAGAACAAATATTTAAAACATACCCATATAGATAAGAAATATAAAATGACTCACCACCTACTTCTCGTACAGTTCAAAATACACTACAAACAAGAGAATTCTTTCAGAAACTTATAGTAGAGTTAATAACAGTACGCCACACACAATTAAATCATGGGGGAACAGTGACCTTACACTGTTTCAGAAGACACCTAAGGAGGGTGAATGAAGACATGACACACCCCTTTCCAAGACTAGTTTTAGAAAGAGTTATGGTTCATGTATGCAACTTCGTACACACGGTGCCACGGTGGTTGAACGACCGGACCACAACAGACCCATTTGTGTAGAATTAGGTTTGTTGTTAGAACAACTAATAATAAGAGGCGTGGCGATAAACCAGTAAACGATATAGTTCGAAGAAATAAAAACATAAATGTATAATAATATTATTAAATTATAGTGTTACTGACCTTAAGTAATACATTTTATTTTAGCTCACAGATCCATTTTTTCATAGTGGATTTCGAATTCTTTACAGCTAGTAAAGAAGAAACATTATTGGTATCCGGGGCGATTTCAAATAGTCTAGAAAAATACCAGCCCAAGAAATTGGAAGGAAGTCCTCTTATACTTACAAAAGACGGTAAGTTAAGAAGATTTCGGCTATGCGATCTTAAGAAAATCGTGCAAACAATCAAACGGGTATTCCGAGGGAAAAAGGCAAGCGTGATTGCACCACTGTTGGACCAATTATACAAAAGTGTAAACCACCAGGGGGAATCAACCTTGTCAACGGTATACTTGTAAAGATATTTGCACATAGACAATAGGGATCCAATAATGGTTTTCTGGAATGGAACGACGGATACAACATTAATTAAACGGTTAAGAATTAAGGGTATTTTAGCATTTTTAAATATATCAGCATATAGTATTAAAAATAATGATGAATTTAATTTAGAACTAACAAATTT